TGGGGCAGCAGGCTGGGCTCGGCCCCGCTCTCCGCAGCCAGTATTTGGAACAGATAAGCAAAGAAATAAAAGGAACCCGAGGGGAAGAGTGCGTCTGTGTTCGCTCCCCCCCAAAGGCCTGCCTCAAGTCAGGCAGTCTGCGAAAAACTGCGATTAATTTCGCACAAAGAGGTTCACGTCAGCTCACCGGTGAGGCAACTGAGGCACGAGGAACCCGTGATCCCTAGAAACGTACCAGCCCTCAGGAGACGAAAGGGCACTATCTCACCCAGGCCACCCTCCCTCTTAGCTGGGCACCCGGGCTCGGCCAGAGACGCAGGGCCGGCCGCAGTGATTTATACTTGCAAGTGAGTAATACCGTGTGAAATGATGGCCACTTACACCGGATACCTGCATGCTTGTGGTGAATTATGAAGCAGAGGGTCAGAGGCCACCCTTCTTTAATACCAGCAAACTGCAGGTATCCAGTATAACTGCACCTTTGAAGCATATTATTGCCGAGACAAAAATGTATTTCTTTCATTTATTGTTACAGCTGGTTTGCTGGTTAAAACACTGTGTTGGACTCTACCTTTCACTGACAAAAGCTTTCTCCTCTCAGATTTCTTTTAAAATATGCAGTAGTAGTGTAATTTAGGTTGGAGAGTGTTTAGAATTGTATTTTGGGGGCAATGAGGTGTCCTTTCCCTTTTACTGAGGTTTAGTACTTTTAAGTGTACTCACATGGAGTTATAGTGCTGGCATTACACTGTGTTTGTTTTTATGGAGGCAAATAAACGATAACATATTGTGCTCCTCCCAAGAGAGCCGTACCAAACAGCTCCACTAGGAAATTGTTTAATTTTTTTTCTTGCTTCTTCGTTGCCTTAATCCTCCCATCTGTAGAGCATGAAGGTATAAAGTGAGAAGCTGATCTCCTTCCAAAGAGTCTGGCTGCATCTGGGCCTGCAATGGAGCATTCCCACTGACCTTACCTTGTACATCTCCTGATTTTATCAGGAGACACTTTGCTCTGGCTGCAGTCCTCCTTGCTTTTTCCATTTTCAGCAAATCCCTCAATTTTCTTACATTTCTTGCTTCTTCTTGTCTTGATTTGAGGCTTGAAGGATGCTATTACAACTAGTGGAAGTATTACTTTCAGTGGTCCTTGGAGGAAGCCTGTACTTACACAGCTGCTCTCTGAGGCCAAAACAGGAGGAAGGGCACGGTACATCCTTCCTTGTTGCCCTGTGCAGCAGTCCTCTGGATAGCTCACTCTTTTCCCACCACGTCCCTTTTACATGAACTTCCTACACACATGTGGGTCTTAGTGCTTGCCATCCAGTTTGGAGATTCTAGTGATGTCAGTGGACCACAGCACTCTCAAAACCCCCCTTCTTTTCCATGTATTATTAAGCAAGTTGGTGCACTGTATGACATCCTACTTCGAAGTATCCATGAAGAAGATGCTGTTGATCCTTTCTGTGAGGCAGGGTAGTGTGCAAGTCTTGAAGTTCTCCTTTTTTCCCCCTATCTGATATTAAGGACTTCCTTCCCTTGTCCTCTGAGGCAGAGGAATCCACTGCTTACAGTGACTGTCTTTAAACGGGCGGTATAAAGTTATAGAACGTGTGCTTGGGTCAAAGCCTTCCATGTATCATTACACAAAAGTTAGTCTTGGCAGAGGAAAAGATGCACGGTAACTTTTTACTCAAGGCATGGTAAAATAGGTCTAGTAGGGTTTCTGCTCCTTAGAAAATTTATGAGGATTTTAAAAAATTTTATTTGTACAATTGCATAAAAACTAAAGAGAGATGTATAAAGCATGCAACTAAGAAGAATTCAGTACTGCTTAGTATAAAAGACAGTCTCCTTCCCTCTCATCAACAAGCCGTAAACCCAAATAATTCCAGAAGATGTCCCATTTTCCAAATTTTCAGCTTTGGCAGGACAAAGGGAAAGGAGCACAGCAGGCGATCAGATACTGCTGCTGCCCAGCGTTAAGACGTTACCAGTGTTTTTGGATAGTGGAAAATAAACATCACTGTGTATGACTTTCTGTAAGGGTAAATGACGGTGACACAGGGTTCATTTATACTCCTCGTCAACTTCTTAATTTCTTTTCCTTGAAAAGGTAGAAATAAAATATTTTATCCACACTCCTGCTCACATATTGTCAGGACAAACTGAAGAAATCCTTGTTCTAGGCAGGTACTAAAAGTTGTGTGCATGAAAAGTGATGCATATCTGGTGGCGGGATGCAGGAAATAGACACTGAAATTGCCTGACTGGAGTCATGAAGATGCCTTAGCATGTTTAATGTAAATTGCTACAGAGACACGATGTCTCCAAGAAAGCCATTAATAATCAGGTAGTTGGGAGGAGAGTTATGCGTCTAGAAGACCGCCAAACAGTGCAAACAGGTTGGATTCAAGGGCCTGCCCTGGGTGCTGGGTAGACATCATGGTAGACATCCTCTCTTTAAGCCCTCAGTTTTCCTGCCAGATGTTTTCTTTCTAATTTGCATGGTAAGATGCCGGATTTGTTTAAAGTGTACTTGCCTGCCAACCTGGTTGTTTTTTTTTTTTTTTTCCCCCCTATTTGAGATCCTTTCCTATATGTTCTCCAATGCCAAACTCCAGTGCAGCCCCTGAGATCTTTGGATATGCCAAAACCACGGGTTTTCTTGATGACTGGTTTTGAAGAGGAAAGAAAAGATGTTGTGGTGATACCTCACTTTCCAAACTAGCTGTGGAAACAACAACAGAAAAACCCCCGGGTTGTACTCGCTGCCTTTTATTCATCATTCCTGGGAATGGATGTAGGAATATCTGCTGCATAATAATCTTCTCTCAGGACTAGCCAGAAACCTTTTCCCTGGGGTCCTGCAAATCTCATCGTCCAGCCACCTCTAATTGACGTGGCTGAGCGAGCAAAACCCCTCTGCAGTGGCAGCTTAACCCAGCAGAAGAGTCGTTTTGCGACAGGGATTATACCGTTAAGGAAAGGTTTTCACCCTGGAGCCCAAAGACATTTTTTTTGCCAATGTAAGCACGGTCCCCAGCAGGGGTCTTTGTCCTGTCGCTGCTGGGGTGTGCTGCAGTGGCGGCAAGGGACCCTCTTCCCTCCTGCCTTCCTGCCCTGACGCTGCACCACATGTTAGGGGTGGCATGGGGCGAGTTTCATAGGCAGCCCTTCTTCTTCAGGGGCACCCATCAGAGTAATGCACAGCTCAGGGCTTGCTTGCTTGCTTTCTGCTAAGATCTGTAATTGTTGTTATAGGTAGAGAACTTGAACAGGCGAGCACCGAGTAGGGACGTGTGCATTTCCTGGAAGGTGTAACGATTTCGAGGGAAATTAGCTTCCACATATAACTTTCAAATATTTTTATGTTGCTGCATGTATCATTTTGGTATGGTACAACTTAAAAGAGAATAACAGGAAACAGTGCTTAGAAAGTGTGTCTAAAATTGGAGAATGCAAATAGAGGCCATATTTTGAAAATGCAGCTTTTATTATCCTTTATCAGCTTTTACTGAACAGTGAGGAAGGCTTTCCTCTGAAGGCTCTGTAGGAAAGAGGCCTACATAATACGTAGTATATCCACCTTGGAAAGAAGAACAGCTGAGTCAGTCCACCCCGAGTATTGAAACTGTGGTTACAGGCAATCTAGCAAGCCTAAATCTGTGGCTTTGACCAAGAAGCTCCAGCTTCTATAGTGAATACTGTGCTTTATTTTTATAAGAATGGGTGTAAGTTGTATAAAATTATTAGAGGAAAGATCTAGGACTTGCTGCATGAGTACTATGGCATAGTTATTGCTTTTCCTTTGTATTTCTGGAATAAATTTATATGAAAACCTTTACTGTGCTACAAAAGTGAAATGTGCAGAAGATGGTAACCTATTTCAACAGATTTGTTGTTATGTTAACTCAGCATACCTCCAGAGAAATGGATTTCCTGAGCATGAAACATTTTCCTGGAAGTTGTACATCCGTGGCATGTGCAATAGTGTGTGGTGGAAACATTTAACCAAAATTTTCTTTGCTCAAAAAAGAAAATTCACAGCAGGATCTTCCCAAAACAGAGAAACATCATCCATTTTTAAGAGCAGTTAGGGAAATTAAGATTTTTACAAACTGGTCTTTTTCATGGGAGCTGCTCACAAAACCAGACGTGCTGTTTTTGTTCTTAGCCTCAGCTACATGTAACAGGCAAAGAACATGCATTCCCATTCAATAAAAATTCTCAAACATGTGCTAGGAATCAGTAATATCTGCTATATAATTTGAAAATAAAGATTAGATTTGGCTCTAAGAAAGTAAATGTCCATGCATGCTCTGATTCATCATTCATGAGGTTCTGGTTTATTTATTTTGTTTTCTAAACAGACAGGCATGCACACGCATGTTAATGTAAAAAGTAGAATGAATGTCCATTTAAAATAAGGATGGAATTAAACCCAGTTCCAATTAAACCCTTGGGCTGAGCTATGGTAATGCGAATGAGGGGGTCTTGTGAGGCGTTAAGACTGTGTTTTAAAATGTGTCACTGAAACACACTGGGATGGTTTAAATGGGCTATTTATATTAGTCAAAAAATGAATCTTAAAAAACTGTGTTAAAATAAATGAGTATTGGCAGGTCTGTGAACACACCAGGCTTGCAAAACGTCTGCAGAGTGTCTGCTCAGCCTTTGAGATTTCTTATTAAGGGCTTTGGTGAGATTAGGAAGACCAACCTAAGCAACCTGCAAAAGGGCACGGTGTGTATGAGTGCTGAGCTGCCATGAAATGGTAGGAAAAGTACAGGGATCTGCGGGATCTTGCCCGTGGCAGTGATCACAGTGGTGGCCAGCAGCATCATATTGATGGTGTTTTTCCCTCTTTGCCTCGCAGGATGTGACATGTGTGCTGATAACCGCAACGGCGAGTGCCCTATGCACGGGCCCCTCCACTCCCTGCGCCGGCTGGGGGGCACCAGCAGTGCTCCAGAGTGGCTCCGGGACCTGCCCCGGGAAGTGTGTCTGTGCACCAGCACAGTGCCTGGCCTGGCCTACGGCATTTGTGCGGCACAGAGGATCCAGCAGGGTACCTGGATTGGGCCTTTCCAGGGAGTCCTGCTCTTGCCAGAGAAGGTTCAAGCAGGAGCCATCAGGAACACTCAGCATCTCTGGGAAGTAAGTAATCGTCTTTACTTCCTTGTCAAATTTGATTGTTTTGAAGTAGACATTGAGTGTAATTGCATGTAGTACTAGCACCGTTCGCTAGCTGTGAAAAAGAAACAACACAATTTAAGTAAGCTAACCCAGCAGATTTGAAAATGCAGGCAGTGCAAGCAAAAGCTTTGTTGCACTATAGGTAGCCAGGAAACCAATGTACACCTCAGAGCTCCAACTGGTTTGCACAGGAAGAGCAGATTGTTGCAGGTGCTGTGATGCAGAATAGAAAGACATGGCCAAAGAAGGCTGAAGGTTACAACACACAGTGCTCTTCACATTTTGACCTGAGTAACAAGAGCTGACGGAGCTCTCAGGTCACAGTACCAGCTGCATCATCTTAGTCTGAGTAACGCACACGGGTTGAGATGGCATATCGCACCATCGCTGTGGCCTACAGACAGTCCAAGAAAGCTGCTGAAAGGAGTGCAGGAGCCTATCCTACAGCCTTGCTATTTGAACAGTGAAGGTATTAGTGCTTGTTCACAATTTAGTTCAACTCTGGTCCTGCACCGACCGTGCATTCCCCTACTGATGCTTTCAGTGCTTTTGTGTTAAAGCCACTGTCAGCTCTCTGAAGATGTTCTTTTTTTGTATTTGTCACCGTCTTAGAGAGGGTGACAGTGATAAATGGTCTAAAAACATTCAGGCTGTGATGGTTTTGTTTATTTTGTAATGGACAGTGACTGTGGTTTGGCGGATCAGATCATAAACCTGCTATTGTATTCCTTTGGCCATACAGGGACATCCACGGCCGTTGCTGTTTGTGACCGCGTACATTTTCTCCAGTGAAGCACTGGAGTTTTGTGCTTAGGTATAGTTTGTATGCAGATGCTAACAACAGCATCTTGCGGTAAGTTAATTTAGAATGCAAAAACAGTATATGCTCCTTTTACACCCAGGTCTAATAACTAATAGGGAACACGTATGATCCCTGTGTGTGTCAGTACTTCTTATTTACAGAAACAGGCTGCTGTCTACCTAGTCTTTTGCCATCCATTTCTTCTTTGCTTTGTGCTGGAAGGTGTCATTTCTTAGTTCTGCTTAGTCCTCTGTAGCTGCAGCTTCTGCTCACCTCAAGACTAACTGCTACGGAGAGTCAGTAGAAACGTGCCTGTAGATCAGCGGGTGATATTTAGTCATCTAGACCAAATCTGGATCTTCAGAATATAAGGGGACATGCTTGCTGGTTAGAAACCTGACAAGGAGTCCATGAAGATGCAAAGAGTGGTTTTGCTGTCTTCAGTGGGTATACAGTAAAAGCGAATGGATTTTAAAAAGGTATTTGGTGTTATGGAGCCAGCATATTGTATATAGCACTTCTTCACAGAAAACCTGTGAATATTTAGGTTGTCTTTGGGACTGATCGTTACCTCTTTTAATCATGATGTTCTACTTTGGCATAATATGTGTGACTTTTTTCTATGAGTATGAGCTCCTATGCATTTCCTATACATTTCCTGTATGCAAGCAAATAGTAAATAACACATGGAGGTCTTTGTCGTAAAGTATTTACTCAAAAGAGTTATTGTGGCAAGAGGGAGATTTTTGCACTAAAGAGTAAAAGATCAGTCTCAGAACACACCTAAATGTACTCAGTAAAACTGGGTGACTTGCAGGCATCGGGAGTTTGTTGCTGCCTTCAGTGGGGATGGAATTTCTCTTGTATAGCGGATATTAATCAACTGGACTTAAATCTGTTCTTACCAAAGCCCAGTGATTATAATGAGGGCATTTTGGGATATGTTATTAATCAAATATTTTTTTATGGAACACTCTATATGGTATCGGAGGCTTTATTTTCATGGTTAAGAAGGGTTTTGTGGCTTAGACTATGCTAATTACCAGAATACAAAGTAATAAAATAAGTTTATCATCGTGTTACATGAAACATTGAAATTTAGCTAAAATAAATGGAGTTAGGGAATTTTACATTATCCTTACCTATTTGCATTATCAATGTAATTTTTTTTAAATTATGAATCGGTTTTATGCAAGTTAAGTTGCAAATACTGATAATAACATTTTTAAATAGGCAAGAATTTTTTCGTTTAATTTCAGATGAACTTAAAAATTCTTTTAAAGCAATGAAAGAAGGAAGGTTGTCGGGGGGAAAGCCAAAAGCAAAGAAGAAAAAGATGTTAAGTAAAAATAAGAAATAGTACTGATGTATGTGCCAGATTCCATACAGCCATCGATGGGTGTCAGCTGAGTCTTTGTGTGGGTTTACTCTTCTGTTCTTCACACACAACACTGATTTCCTGTTGGCTAGCAAAATGAGTGTGTGTATTTTAAGTGAATTATCCTAAAAATAATAATTAAATTTAGTTTTTGGAGGAGGCATTGTGGGCAGCTCGTTGTCTCAGATTATTTCTGTTAATGGCAAAAATTGTTAGCAAAGAGTCACATACCCTAAGCTCTAGCTAAAAGTTTTGGCCATTTTTCATTTGTTTTGACTTTCAGTTTGGTATGTTTTATCTATCAGAGAACTAACATTTAATAAACAAAAAGTATAGCAAAAGAAAGTAATCAGAAAGTGTGTGTGATTTTACACAGCTGATCTATGAAAATAAATAAAAGCAATTGAAAGTATGTAACTGAATAGTCTGTATTCTTTTAGTCTATATGGTATAGGAGTGTGAATTAAATCACTGTGAACATTAAAGGAATGTCTCATCATTGTCCCTTTATAAAGTTGTGACTCTAGTCAATTCTTTTCCACCAATCTTTTCAAGATAGCTGCAAATACAAGTATGTCCACAGATGAGTTATTCGGCATTAGGTCTTGGTGGACCTTATAGAGAGAACTTTTCTTTCTTAGTACCATAAATAGCATTCGAATATATTTTCTCTCAGCACTGCGAAGTAAAGTTGATAGATATTTGTTTTCATTTACAGTTCTTTGTTTTTAGTGTACACCAGATAAATAGAGGGAATATTGCAGGGACTTTTAAGTGTAGTTACTGATTTGGCGGCTTTTTTTATTCTCTTTGTTGTGGGAAACATCAGAAGCACTGCATTTGATGTATAGTGCAACGCTATGGAAATATGCTTTAGTCTGTCTGCACAAGTGTTCCCACCATGCACTCAATGTTTGCTTTGTATGTAATCCATACAGCATAATGTACAGCGATTCAGAGTAAATTACATACCGTTCCATTACCTCACAACAGGCCTTGACACCTATGGGTGTTCATGGGAAATTATAGAGTTCTCTCGCAATCAGCCAAGATAACTTTTTATAAGTTACAGAAAGATCAGCCCTTCAGAAAGCCAAAAATATTAGTCATTTTTAGTTGTTCTTTTTTTCCCCCCTTTGGCCCACTTCAATACAGAGTTTGCCTGTATTTTATAAAAATACAATAAACTCTGATTTGTTTAAAACAAAAACAGGACTGGGTGTATTAAGTAAACACTGTCTTTGGTAATACAGGCATTTATTCCAGCACTGCTTGATAATATTTCTGATCTTTTTCTTCTTCTTTTTTTTCATTTTGAAGTAATGCGAACAATCCTTTTGTTATTGCAAAAAAAACAGAGACTTTCTCAGCAATTAGGTCTTACTGATGAGAATGAGATAATCTCCCCCTAATGTGTTTTCTAATAAAGAAGTGAAAAGGCACATATTCCAACATGTATGAAAACATTATCTCAATTATTAATGTGTCCTTACTCCCCGGAGATAAATTAATCTAGTTGCACATGGTTTCCCCTTTCTGTTTAACATCAAAATTTAATAAGAGTAGACTTAAGGAATGTATACGATATGCACTTAAATTCTATTAGAATAAAATACAGAAGTTTAAAAGACTTATACATTTTAGTAGTCAAAGTTTTTCAGGCTCCAAACTTTAAACTGTGAATTCTGGAAACAGCTAAATCGCAAATGGTATTTTCCCCTGCAAATGCAGTTTATACAAAAAAAATCTTTTACTGACAGACGTATCAAAGGATAGAATCTTACAGTTTCCTTTTCTTCATTTGCCTGATAAAGAGTTTGCTGTCTTTCTTGTGGTGTTTTGTTTTTTTTTTTAATTTTTTTTTTTTTTGCCAGATGTCAAATAGTTTTTTTTTTTTTTCTTGGAATAGCCCAAGAATGTCAAATACATTATTTCACTTTATTTCAACTTGACTTAAGTTAAGTTTTGCTTTGCTGGAAGAAATGTTTTTCATATGTTGGTTTTTTTACAGGGATGAGCAAAATATACATACAGCAGGGCATTCATTAGTAATTACAAAATGCTAAACCTGTGTTACTGATGTTCCCCTTAAATGGACAGGATTACTGACACTGCTAGAAAGCGTGCATGTCATTTTAATAAAGTACCATTTGGGTACATATTGGACTTCTAGTGCCTCAACTGAAGTAAAAGAAAACATTGCCTTTGACTTCATCTGGACCAAGGACAGGCATTTTGCTGGGTTGTGTGCTGGCCAGAGTCCATGCAGCAGTACTGTACATTTCTGTACAAATTAATATGCAGAGAGAAGCGGTACCTTTCAAATGAAGCACTCGTTCCAGTTATGGTGATAGATTTGTATTCAGATTGTCAAGGCTGTAGTTTTGGACTATATTCGCTGTTACAGCAAAGCACTGGGGGATAGAATTATGTGCATGCCGTAGTTCTATTAAAGTGAAAATTATGTTTCTCAGCAATCCATCATCTAGTACTCTAGACTGCTTGTCAGCTCTGTTTCAAATATGTCATGTTAATGAAATTCAAATAATTCGATCTTGAAAAAACCCCTTACTTATATTACTATTATATCTTAAATTATGCAGAGTAACAGCTGGTGCCATTCTGTTGTTGGTTTGCCTTTTCTGAGGATTTTGTGTGGTGTACCAACCTTACGTTTATTTTCTATTAAGAAAGCACAATAATTTTTACTTTTACATGGATTTTCAGTTCACACACAGCCTACTGCATATATCCCTAATGTTGTGTTCAGTAGCTTGCTAA